GCAAGCCCCTTGGGACCCACGACCAGAGATTTTTCTTTCAACTGAACCCTTGTGGTCATAGTTCTTATGTAATATCCTCTCTGACGTGAAGATGGGTTTGTCTCTTATGAATATGCTTGACCTTTTGTCAAGTGTACGCATCGCATGTTATTGAAAATTCTTCCTTTTGCACTACACACAAGTCCTCTGTCAGTGCAGGCTTTGCAGAGCAGATCATGTCTATCTTAGTTATATCATGCTACAACGGCAGCTTAGTCACTTGAAAGACCGTATGCTTGACCGCCTCAAAGTTTAAGCCTTTCACATTTTCTGTGTCTAGCTTCGCCTTATCCTATACCGCGAACAAATTCAGTCTCATGATTTTGTATGACTTTCAAAATGAAGCCTGAAATTTATGTACATAATATTTAAAAATTCAGTGCGTACCTCATAGGAAACACATTACGTCTCCGGTACAAATGCAACCGGTTAATTGTGTTTAGGGAAACAGTTGCTGTTTATTGTGAGAACCACAAGGAACACGTAAATACACTGTGTGGGCAGAATGTAGAATTTTTTATTGTTAAAGAAGGTGATACATATAGTTACCTTGTTCCTTATCCTATGCGTATGTATATTTCGGAGATTAAGGTAATATATCTGGATATAAAACAACATTCTGTTATACTTAAGCCATGTTATTCAAAGTTAGAGGGAATTATTGCTATGTTTAATATATTTCAGATCTACTGTTATCACATTCTGAGTATTGGGCGTGTTAACATGACAAACGGTTTTCCTTAACAGATTTTAAGGTAGGGACCAGTGGCGTACTCCTCCGAAAGAAAGTAAAGAGCCTTCTGAGGCGGAGAGCCTCTTCGCTGTTTTGCTGCTAGCTTCTGAAGCGATTCCCTTCCACATTGTCAATTATTTTCCATGACAATTAGAACCACAGTTTAAATACGTATATGTGCCCTGTCTTAAGGTCTGATGGGTTGTTACAGGCTGAATGGCTGGAGAATCGGGGTTCGTTTCGCGACAGAAGCAAGGGGCTTTTCTTTTCTATACAGGGTCCAGACAGGCTCTGGGGCCCACCCAGTGCCTCCTATCTATTGCATAAAGGGGACACATTCCCAGGGGGTAGAGCGGGCGGGGCTTGACGCTGACCACTCACCTCCATCTACTGTCGACGTTCATAATGTGCGCACCTGTATCTCCAATGTCCCGTACACCTTCATCGAGTGTAACTTAATTAAGCGCAGACAAAACTTTACATTTCATTCACTCAGTGTATTTCATGTGTCTCACAGATGGCGCCATCGACTGGTCTTCATAATGACAATGTAAGGCTCCTCATAAGCTCTGAAATGAGCCTTTAATAACAAGTTCTGAGAAGAACGACACGGACTGCACAGAAAACGACGCCTCGAACATTTCTTCGTTGCCACGGGAACTTCTTTATAGAGTTGTTACCTAGCAATGATAGGAGGATACACAGACAGACACACAGACTTTCATTTGATAAGACACGGACCCCACAGAAAATGATGCGTCCGACAGTTCTCATATTGCTGCGTGTATTCGCTGGGAACGTGTTTATCAAGCTGTTGCCTAGCAACGAAAGAGAAATACACACACAGACTGATGGGAGGGATTTATGGAGTACGCCGTTGAGATTGGGACAGGTGTCAAGATATGTATACCAAGTTTCACGAATATTGGGTCCGGCGTTCAAATGTTTATAGGGAAGGATTTACAGAGAGCAGGGTAATAGCATAAGCTTACTTTCATTTTCTCAAAAGAAGCAAAGTTGGCTGAAAAGGATGCAATTTAATCCGAGTAATCAGGAGACACTGTAGTACTTATGTGCTCGGATTACTGGATTTGAAATGAAGAAATTCCAATTCTATAATAAAATTATTTATTTCAAAGATTTATATGTAGATTTTGCATATATGAACCAAAGATTTGAAATATGTTATAGAGTCTTAATGTAGCCGCCTGTCATACATCCCAGTTACATCTCTCCCCAAGCAGAAAGGCAGGTCCATTAATATCACGTTTCTTAAAAATGAAAATGTTCATCCCCCCGCTTCTTTTTGGTGTCACTTTAATTTAGGAAGAGCTCTATTTTCTGGGATATAACGCCGTGTAGTCCGTTCAAAGTCAACCGACGTTTCGGAGGATCATGTCGCCTCCATTTTCAGGGTCGAAGAATAGGCCCAGCAAGAGACCAGCATGAAAGGTTATTGTCTCTGCTTGTCGCGTTCATCCGAAACGTCGATTGACTTTCAACGGACTATACGTCAGTATATCACAGAAGATATAACTCTTCATAACCTCACATCCCGCTGGGAGTCGGTCGGATTACCAAGGTCCCACTGTATTTAGATGAACTTCATGCTTGGATGCTGTGGGGCTAATGCTGCGTAAATGAACATTTTTTAAGAAAACTTAGTCTAAACGACACGGCCCGTGCGACATTACACACACGAAGCACAGGTCAACACCAGAAGCTCCTGCCCCTCTGAGAGTGGTTTAGTTCATACCGGGTTCCAGGAACTGGAGGCCTATTCGCATTCCGACGTATTGACATTGCGCAGTCAGTCACGTGATGACACTTATCTGAAGGAGAGGGCGCAGTTAGGCCCATCTGTGCAGTCAGTGTTAAATAAGAGGACGTAACAATGTCAGAACTACATTATTCCTGTTCGTGAGGCTTTCTAATATTTAGGGAAGTCTTTCTTTAGTAGCTGACTGTCGCTCAGCAGGTTAATAAATTCCTGATTTATACATATCACTTAGTGGTATTAAGAGACTGAGATTATAAAGACATTATGGTGGGCTGGACATGTAGCTTGCAATGTAGTGTAAGTAATGTGCGGTAAATTTTGGTGGGGGGAAACCTCTTGATAAACGTTTATTTGGAAGTCTATGAAGGAGACTCCAATATAAACAATTTGTATAAGAATATGTACAATGAAGGCCACTGCCTCGCAGTGACACAACGTTTTTGATTGCCTGCACAAGTGTACCTCATATATAGCCCTCAATAAACACAGATACCCGTATCTTGCCGCCTGATCAAACAAGTGGGGTGTGACAACACAATCAATAAAGGAATTCCGCGATGATCCTAACTGCCTATATCAAAGTCAAAGTCAAAGTTATGTCCCTCTTAGTGTCAAGCATCCATCTGGGGCCCAAGACTAGAATTTTATTACCGTCAAAGAGTTGCGGGGTTGTTAATGTGGGGCGCCCTCTCTGTTGAGGGGTTGAGTCTATAGTCTACAATTGCTATTGCCCTCGCCAGCGCAGTGATTCTAGGGTCTGAGATCACCGGGACTCACGACTAGATTCAGTTGTCTCAGATTCGAGACTCCCCCAACCTGGAGGGGCAGGCCCCCGTATTTATATCCCCGAGGAACAGGGTGGTCCAGTTATACTCCCAGGCACTGGGTAGCAGATCAAGATTTAACAGCTCAGTTCGTACCTCACAGGAAACACATTACGTCACCGCTACAGAACCCAACCGGTTAATGCTGTTTAGGGAAATGATCGCTGTTTATTGTGAGAACCACACGAAATCCACTAATACACTCTACAGGCAAAATGCAGAGATTTATCCTTAAAACAGACAGTATGTATAATGAAGAAAGCAGTCTTCTGTGATTTGGCACCGTGTATATGTGGTGTTAACCGACGTTTCGGAGGAAACACCACATATACAGAGTGCCAAATCCCAGAAGACTGCTTTCTTTACAGTCACCGCCGTGAAAGCCTCAAATCTTATATAGTATGTATAATGACTATTGTATTTAAAGTGTTAATCTTTTATTTAATTTTCGGTTATGACATGATGCGGTTTATAGGCAGAATCCGACGTTTCGTAGGAAAATTCTGGCTCCATGTTCAGGAGCTGAAATTCTACATTCCTAACCACCGTCTTCATTGAACCGACCTGGGCTCGATTCTTTCGTCCTCAATTAGATAACATACATACGTGGCCACATTATTTACAGCCCGTCTGTATAATCAAACCAATTTCTCAGTCTGCATAATTCAACTATGAGAACTGAAGCAATGAAGTCCTCAGACACGCATTTAGGCTGTATCTTGTCACAAACCGGGTGCACAGAATATGGGCCGTGTAGTCATGTAGGAGTTCAGTTCTTCGTACTCACAGCTGTGAGAGCCTCGAACCCAACAAAGTGTAATTCAGGCAGTGAGTACACCCCCCCCCTCACCATTCATCTCTGTGTCAAGTAGCAAGTGACTTCAAGTCCATTTCCTTCAGAACGACAAGAAAAGAAAATGTATAAATTAATCCGCCTGAAAAAATTTTCGGGAAAGTGATGATAACAGATGGAAGTGAAGGGAGGGGGGTAACAAGGCCTCCTTCCATTGACAGCGTTCGGAAATTGAAACAGAACTGGATTAGCTTGAGCAAGTTAGCTGCATAATGCGGATTCGGATTTCCGAAATGTACTTCGAAGGAGCCGGGTTCGAATCTGGACCGCGACACAAGCAATCCTCACTGAGATATCTCGTCACTGTCCTCAGTCCATCCGGACAGATTTCGGCATAATATCTCAAATATGTCATGACCACTTAATCCTACAATACAAGAATATCGTAAAACAGATATTCCACAAAAATACCTTATTCTTTGAAAACTTCTATCTTCTGGGATATGACTCAGCGTAGTCCGTTCAAAATCAACGAACGTTTCGGAGGAACATATCGCCTCCATCTTCAGGGTAGAACGCTAAGACGAACAAGAAACAAGCGTGAAGCAGGCAGAAGGCAAGGTCTTATTCGTTACTCTATAATCAGACAAGGGAATGTCAAACATGTCACCATCAACTTAATTATATGCTTCCTGGTGAAAGGAAACTTCTTGCCATCGTCTACTACCCTGAAGATGGAGTCAGCACGTTAATCGCTAACATCGTTAAATATCTACCAGACCACACGGCGTCACATCCCAGAAGAACGTAGGATTGCCAAGAGAAGCTTACCGTGACATGGCCGGCTGTCTCCCGTCTCGCCAGCAGCAAGTGGCTTGCTTCACTTGTCGCCAGTCACCGGACAGCTAGAACGCTCTGCAACAGAAGACAACAGCGCTCACACAACAATACTGAAGCCACACCACAGTGTGTTCAGAGGAGGTGTCTGACAGTAGCTGATTAGATATCTCTACAAATGTTTGCCCTTCCATTGCTTGTCTCAACGCCACAAACAAGAAAAGACACAATTCTAATATAATTTAACAAACTCCTGACCAGTTTATCACCGAAATGTTCAGTACTGTGAATGAAGCCAGAATTTGTTTCCAGTGCGTCCATATTCACTTGTTTGTTGGTCGTTTTATTTGTTTGTTTGTTTGTTGTTTGTTTAGGACCCTGTATCGTCTAGTGTTGAATGAGGAATGGTTCAACAATTAAGAAGCTGCTAAATGTACTCTCAGCGTTAGCAGTTCTAGTGGAGTGGTTTCTATTTAATCATCTTGAACCCTAGGAGAACTACCGAAGAAATGCATTGAACGTAAAATGCGTACTTCATTTTTACTCTACAGTTTTCGTTCGAGACAGTTTTTGCGAGCAGAAATGCGCGTTGGGTCTCCATGCAAGGTACCCGCCACTGTGGTCAGATTCCACTCGTTATTGTAACGTTCCCGTATATTTTCGTAACCCCCCCCCCACCAAACTTCAAATTTAATGATAATCTGACCAAAGGTGACCTGTTCTGCTTGTCACCTGTTTTCACGCTGTTTCCTTGCACGGCTAATTCTTCGATCATGCAGATGGAAGCGATATATTCCTCCGAAATGTCAAACTCCCGCGGCTCCTGTCTCAAGCCACGGCTTCTAACCATTATAACGTCTTCATTTCATACTGCCCTTGTCTAAAGGACGAGAGGGCGAAGCCTGGGAATCTTCTAACTAAATGAGGCTCTTCCCCCTCCCCCCAAAGCAAAGTGTCTCTCACTTCTCCCATGGTTTTCCATTTCAACCTGCTTTTCTACTATACTTTCAACCTCCCTCTCCCTCTCTGTCTCTCTCATGCTATAAAGGGTTGAAACGCTTATCTTTGTACTCGTAATTCAGACACATTGTGTTCTCTGTGAGGTAAGAAGTGATATTTGGATTAATTTCAGGCTTCAAAGCGCTAACAGACTGATCCTTGAAATGCAGATGCAGGTGTGTTTTCTGTGATGTAGGAAATTAATTTTGAAACATTTCTTAGGACATTGAACAGGAGGCCTTTCTAATGGGGACAGCGATTTATTGAGAGTATAAGATAAATTTTATACGTCATTTAAATTAACTTCAAGCTGTAATGAACAGACCGATCATAGAAGTGGTGACGTATTGTGTTCTCTGGGAGGTAGGAACTGGATCTTTAAATATTATTCAGATGAGCACAGGTTCCCACCGGTTCAAATATTTATACTTCAATTTTCTAGGAGAAATTTATATCCGTATATATCTGTGCTATTGTTCGCCGTTCATAAAGCGCAGGGCACACTGAAGAGCTGAACACAAAGACACTTGTTGTCTTGCGGTTAATGAGAATTTGAATTTTTATTCAAGCCCCTGAAGACAAAAGGCTATGATAATAATGAAAGCTAAGAGGGTATTGAATCCAGAGACAAGAGTTGAAGGCGGTTGTTTAGCAAGAGTTAAGAGGGGCAGAAGAAGGGAGAGGGGGTTGTTTCGTTCCTGTTGAAGAATATATTATCCAACCTCCTCAGTCCCTACCGTATGTTTCGGAACAAAAGGTGAGTTGGTCATTAATGATTGAGGGATCAAGAGATGTTTTTAAAGAGGCGAAAAATGAAAAAAAAAATCGTCTTGTCCCGTTGGAACAAGACCTAACAATATGTAGCATTAGTAATTATTAAGGGTCCTCTTTTCTTTACTCTGCATCCTTACCTTGGATAGAATCTCAGCTCTTCTGGTTCAAGAGCCTTTCTCTTCTCATACATTCGTGTTTTCCCATAATCCTGTACATATCGCTTTTAACTGAGCCGTAAATTAATCTGCTCTTTCAAAATGATATCGATGTCTTGTTTAACCAAGTCCCTCAAATAAACCTTTGAAAGCAGAAGTTCGCTTAAATATAATTTAAAGTTCAGTTTGTACCTCACAGGAAACACAGAGACCAACCGGTCAATGTTGTTCAGGGAAATAATCTGTGTTTGTTGTGAGACTCGAATCGAACACATAAACACATGGTGTGCACAAAATCCATGCTGAAGGACCTTAATCCTCTAAGGCACTGTGTGTACCATTTATTTTATCATTAAATATCTGTGCATTTTTGCTCACACAGTGTATGTGTGTTCCGTATGGTTCTCACAGTAAACAGGGACTGTTTCCCTACACAGCATTAACCGGTTGGACTTTGTAACGGAGACGTGTAAGTTTCTTTTGTGGAAAGAACGAATTATTTTTATGTTACTTGGATAAGTTACCGGACTTCCGGCTAGTAGTCAGAACGTAACCAAAAATTTCTGCTACCGGTCATGTCGACACAGGTTTTGTTGGCTTTCTTCTGTTTTCAAGGAAATATTAAGATGGTTCCCAGTCTCCAAGTTGCTACTGCCAGCTTCTCGTGAAGTTCTGCAGACATAAATACATCAAAATCACACCCCTTGCTTTGGTGATCCACAAATTACCACCCCAAATCAAGCAATTGTGAAGTAAACAGAAAGTAAAAAAAATTCACTGTCCCTCTCCACAATTTGTCACAAAACTTCGTGCCTGACTTAAACAAACAAACTTCTTTCCTGTACACCCAGGTTAATAAGCATCCTGAAAAACTTCCATACATGAAACCTGAGCACCAGGCAGTATGTTGGGGAAGTGGATCACGTGGTTGGGTAAAATGCTAAAGCCTCAGGCTGTATTGACAGGTGAATCATGAATTAGAAAGAAGCTGGAAGTAAGCCATCGCGGCATTTACCTGGGGCGACTGAGAAAACTCACGACATACCTCAGACGGGATAACCAGTATCTCGGCTGATATTACAAATTAGCACCTTCCAAATGCGAATGTAGGCCAACCTTCTGAGCAGTCTCAGAGACACTGATTCTGCTGGCTCACAAGGCGATCGATCACGTGGGCTCCAAGTTACGAAACCCTCCAGAGTGAAGACTGCAGCCTGTATAGCACTCCGCATTCTAAGTCCCCGCGAGCACAACGCCGAGTTCGTCAGCAAACACTCTATTTGTCCTCCCGTTCCTTCTGTCATTGTCATGTAGACATGTGGTCCTATTGTCAGTGGACTACAATACATGTGACAATGACTGGATCTGTGACAATAAGACTCACACTTGTATTACAACACATCTCGCAGGGCCAAGTCTTGGTACAGTCAGTGCTCGCAACATAAGCACCGTGGCGAACGGATAAGCTCTCTGGGGGAGCCACAAATTAATTTATATTGACACTTTCCATGTTACGCACGAGATATCTCGCGACACTAAGAGTCTAGATTTTACAGCGTCCAATCTGATGAATAGGTAGAATTCCGGCAAGTGTGTGTGGAGGGGCTGAGGAAAACCACGATGGCCGTTGTGCCGGAAAATATTCGTTGAGTTATTGAAGGAAATGTTTGGACCTAACTTATTTATTATTGGCTATCAAAATGTGGCTATAAACTTCTGTACTGAAATTCTACATTTTTGAAGAAGTTTGCTTTTAAAGTCAAGTAACATAACACGCGCCGGTCCCGGTAGTCGAGCGGTCTAAGGCATGCACTGTCTTCGATCGCTCGGAAGCTGGGATCGTAGGTTCGGATACCATTCAGGACTTGAATGTTTAGTGTTTGTGTTTGTGTGTGTGTGTGTGTGTGTGTGTGTGTGCGCGCGCGCGCGCGCGCGCGTTTTTCTGTGTTTGTGTACAGGTAGAGGCCTTGCGACGAGCTGATCACGCCCAAGGAGTCCTACCGAATGTGTAAGATCTAGAAACCCGAAGTGAAACGGAGAGTTTCATGGAGGTAGGCCAAGGCCCAAATTGTGGCTGTAGCGCCAAAAGTAAAAAAAACATGACACGTGCAAACAAATTGTTTTCTCAGTAAGGGCTTTTATACTAACATAATAATATTATGTTTCATGCTTCTCTAGTACCATATGGCTAAAACAACCATTAATTCTTTTCACAGAACAGGCTGTTGTTATCTTAAAGGTACACTCTTGTACTGGGAAGATGCTGGGTTCTAATATCGCCAGGAACACTGGCTGTCCTGATTAAGCTTTCTTCACCCTCCCCCCTTTTGTTTCTTGGGGTTGAATTAGACTGAGTCCACTTGCTACTGCGGCCACTAATTAGCCTATCGTACCACCTCCGGATGATACATGATGAAAGTGGAGTAGTCGGTGGAATGAGAATTGGGAGGGGAAACCGAAGTACTCGGAGGAAACATGCCCCAGTGTCACTTTGTCTACCACAAATCCCACATGACCTGACTTGGGCTCGAACCTGGGACGCCGCGGTGGAAAGTCGACAACTAACAGCCTGAGCTATGGCATGGGCTTCAGGTTCCTCTTAATTTTCTTCAGTCTCTCCAGGTAAATACAAGGATAATGTCTCGATTAGATGAAGACCTGCTCCTTCCGAATCCCTTGATACTCCTGCTAAATAATATAGATACTAAGAGGGCCGTAATGATCCGGTTAAATAAGATGATAAGAATTTCTTGGGTAGTTGAGCAACTATTAGCTTCTCAAGAAAGCTCCATGAAATTACTAAACTACTCGATAAATTTCCCCGCCTTTTACGGAAAACGAATATTCATTACCGTCGTCACAAAAGCCCAACAGTGAATCATACTCTCAACGAAAACAACTCAGTCCATATAGTCACATCCTATTTATTTAAGATCCATTTTAATATTATGCTCCGCTACCACGTGGTCCCTTCTCTTTAAGTTTTCACACTAACGTCATATGTACCGCGGCGGCGATCCTGGGTCTGGTCAAGTGGAATTTGTGGTGGACAATGTGGCGCTGGGGCAGGTTTTCTCCGAATACTTTGGTTTCCCATGCCAATCTTCATTCCACCAACTGCTCCACAATCACCCTCACCTATCATCTGGG